AAACGTTTTTCTTTGCTTGTTTCCAAATTTAGCATTTTCCTCTATTCCCATAATCTTTTTTTTTCGAGACTTAAACATTACCCGTGAATGCTGTGCAATTGGTTGAATTTTTCTTTCTTCTATCCATTCCAAAAATTTATCTTGAGTTAAAAATCGAATGTCCGGATAATCTTTTTTGAATGCTTTTAAATCATAATAAAAGTCGAATGGATATAGACCACATGCTCTAATTCTTGAATTTCCAACGTTTGCTATGACTAATGTACGATTTAAAGATCGCGCTAATTGTGTGTAAGAGCGAGCGTGAATGTTGGCACGGGTCTCTTGTTCTGGGTACTGATATGGAAACAGGAATTTACATGTTTTTTCTTGGCAGTACTTTATGTTAATTTTCTCATCCTCTGTTAGTGGTGTTTCGGGAGACGAATTAATTGTATTTTCTTTTATTGTATTCTCTTTAGAAGACGAAATAATTGTATTTTCTTTTCTTGTATTCTCCTCAGGAGACGAATTAATTGTATTTTCTTTTATTGTATTCTCCTCAGGAGACGAATTAATTGTATTCGCTTTTATTGTATTCTCCCCGGTAGTAATATTATGCATCACCTATAATTGAAAATGTTAATGTTTAATAATGTATTATCTTTTAAAATATTTTAAGAAATGCTTTACCTCATCCGAGTTTATGAAATTTTGTTCTCCTAGTTTTAAGGCAATATTGACAAAACTCCATAATAAGAAAATTAATATAAATTTAATTTCAAGCTTTGTAATTTGTAAGGCGCTGAAATTTGGCAACATTTCATTTATAGACGTTTTGTTGATATTTAATGGATACTTTTCGACGAAAGTTTTAACGGGATGAAATTATTTATAGGATTTTTTTTATTTTAAGAATGAAAATAAAAATGGCCATGGCGAAGACGATCAAACATATTAGTGTATAATGCAAACAAATAAATATTCGTTACTTTTAAATAATTTCTGCTAAAACTTTATCGTACAGTCAAGCGATATGGAAATCGTTTAAAAGCCAGTTGTGCACCCCATAGAACCAAAATAGAATAATCAGGAATTTTCTAAACGTGACTCTTTTCGCAGGAAAGGAAATGATTTGCGAATAATAATAAACTTCCTTGCTAACATTCATATCCATAAAAATTTCGTTCAATTAGTGCATCAATGTCGATCCAAACATTAGTTTTGGATTTTGACATTTATTTTCTTTCCGTACATGCTCGAATGCTGATCAAAATTTTGTAGTTTAATTAGCCATTTCCTTTTTGAGTTCTTATTTTTTTTTTTTACCGTTACGTCAATCCAGCAATCTACAGACTAAAAATTACCTGACCATGAAGATTCTTC